GTTAGCACAATATTATAATATCTTAGTGGTTCTCTTTTACTAACATTGATCTTTATGATCTTTATGATGTGCACTAAATCGTAATACAGTATATCTGAAATGTTCCGTTTAGCTCATGTTATATGCACCCTTTGTATCTTGACCACATGTGATTGTAAGTGGCTTTAGATAAAATGTTTGCCAAATGAAGAAATGCACTAATTAATATTAAACTCACCTTTGTTTATGTTTCAGTACTCCTATTGGGATAAAACTGTGAATGTCACTAAATAACTATTTAAACTGATGTGATTTTATAAACATTGGCCTGTATCCAGTATCCAATAGACCCACAAGACTTTGGCATCTTTGATCTTGGATAGCCACTTTAACGTATTCAGAAACGGAGAGATACAGTAAATAGAAAACAAGGAGCAAAAGATCTACCTGGCAATAATAATCATCTGGCGTCAGAAGTAGCCCTTTCACTTGTTGAAATCAAGTGAAACTACTGTATCTAATCAAACCATCTAATTTAATTAATCAAATTAGAAAAAAATAGCTACAATAATTCTTCTGAATTGTTTTCCTAAAATAAATTATTGTGTATAACTATAAATATAACAATATTATCTTGGAGAAAATCCACCAGAAAAGTGACAAAAGTACGTTCCATTAAGAAATAATATAGAGAAAGTAAAATTGTTTTTCAATAATTTTCAATGTATTGTCTAAGAAATTCTGCTCTGTACAATCTATTGATTTAAATCTGCTCACTACAAGGGCAGTGACTCCGTACAACCTATTGATTAATTTCAATAGCAACAAGCCTGATTGTAATAGTTTTAAAACATCATAGGTGAGTATTTATACTTAGTTATAAAAAGTTTTGCTGCCCCAAAACTTGAGAGCCTCCTAGTTTTGTACCTTGCAGCAGACAACCAGTGCCTCTAAGGATTTGGATTTATCTTCTGTCGTCTGTCCCTCCTCCTTCCTTGTGTTTTCCAACATTTCTCTCTCCCGTTTCTCCCCTTTTGTGCCTGTCTCCTCTGCTGCGTCTACCTCCTTTATCTCTCCCTCCTCTGGAGACTCTTTCTCCACTGTGGATGTTCTTGTTTCTGCTGCTTCTCTGTCCTCCTTCTCCTCTGCCAGTGGGGAGCGCACCCTGGTGGACAAGTCTCTGCTCTCCCCCCTCAGCCTCGTCACGTTTCCCTCTAAGAGGCGCCGCTGTACAATGCTGTGAGGTTGCTGTAGAAATGAAGGGAGAGGTGAACAGAAATTAAAGAGGTCATCGTGGACAGAGAAAATGTATTTCTGGGTCCTTTAGTTTGTGTAGTCATACATACACATTGTTAAAACAGAATATTTGATTCAAAGCCTAAAAGCTTAAACTGAGGACTACTAAGGGTAAGATAACTTGCAAAAAATTATCAGCAAAAGCTAAAAGGAAGCAAATACTGCAATATGTTGATTGTACTGTATAAATATCCAGTCCCAATATTTGGTGGTTTGTTGGTGTTTACAGCCACAAATCTTTCTGAATAAGTCTCTATCAACTTTTTCACACAGGCTTTGTGCAATTTTTGTCCTTTCTTCTTGTCAAATTTTATTAAGTTATCTCAAGTTGCTAGAGGATTACTTATGGACAGCAGTATTGAAATGTTTACACAGATTTGCGATAAGATTTAAGTCAGTAATTTGACTGGGCCACTCAACGAAATGCAGTTTTGTAATTTTAAGGCACTCCAGTTTAGCTTTGGCCTCGTGTTTTGTCTCATTCTCCAAATGAAAGATGAATTTTTGTCCTAGGTTTAGCACTTTAGCAGACTGAACCAGGTCTCCTCTTAGATGTGCCTGTAATTTGCTCCATCCATTTCCAAATACACCTACACCTTTTTACACTTCTTAATATTTGATTTGACCATACTCAAAGGGTTATTCACTGTCCTTAAGTTTTAATACCCTTTTCTTGGTTTGGACAGCTCAAGGTTAGTTTTCGTAGTTAAATCTTTGCTTGAAATTCACTACTTGACTGAAGGACTTTACAGAGATATATGACTTTACAAAGAAATAATTTTATCCAATATTATTGCGCACAGGCAAAGACTGCTCAGCTAATTAAGAGCCTTGTTGCGTTAATTTTGTGCACCTAAATAAATGTAGGTTTGGCACAGTAAAGGATTTGAGTACTTTTGCAATCATGACCTCTCCAGTTTTCTTTTAGAATTTCAGTGGAGCAGGTTGATTATACAACAAATATTACTGTACTTGCTACATCAAAGTGTCATGACTGCTAGCTTTAGTGAAAACTGAACAAGGGTCTGAATACATTTCAAGGCACTATGTATGAATTCAATAATAAAAATATGGACTAATACAGTTACTTGAAACACATGCAAATTTGTCATACAGCAATTATTCTATATGACCATCAAATAATGTCTCCAGCAGGCCAGACATGCAGAGCTCCCTTTCAATGAACCAGTCCATCAGAGCTTCAGTGCAATGCTGTAGTTTTGATCTTAGCTCAGGTCAGACACTTTAAAACAGTTTAGCTGATTACAATCACCTAATGGATGGTTTAATACTGCAGCCTAGAAGATCAAAACTGTCAGTCAAATTGTCCTACTCATTCAGCTCTATCTCTCTTGCTTAATGCTAAGATCCTAAGAATGTAAATTACTAATTCCACAATTACTGACCTTTTTAGATGTTTTTGTCTGTTGATATATGCAGACCATTACTTTCCATAATATGCTAAAATGTTACTTGAGAAAGTAATACCATTCTGTGTCTTTTGGATGGAAGATTAGTCACCTGCTGTGAGATTTCTTTTTATTTGTGATGTGCAGGTCTTTTCCTCCTGAAGAAGTCAAAGGAGTGGGCTTAATGATTGAAAAAAAAGGTACAGTACAATTTCAGTAAATAACGAGCACCAGCTGAGGATTATTTTGGTTTTAAAAGATCGGGAAAAATACACCTCCACAAGTAGTGCTCAGCTAATTTCTCCTGTAAAAGCCAAACTCATTGTGTTCTGGGTAAGGTGGTATTTTTTTTTCCTTTTTCAATTTCTTAAAGAAATAAAAGAGCAACGACAACAGGAAAAAAAAGTTCTGGCCACCCTGAAGGGAACAAACTGTTTTCACTAATACTGTAAGTCATGTAGCATCCTACTGCATCAGAGGCAGTTAGCTTCAAATCTCTGCGCTCCTTTGAAACATATTCACATTGCATTTTGAAATCCATTGAGCTGCCACTTAATGATGCTAAAGCAAAAGACCCTTGCTTTGCCGATCATTCACTTTAGCTTCAAGTGTTCTTTATTGCTCCATTAAAGCCTTAATCTCCAAACCAATGCTGATTATCTCTTTACTGGATCTTCTGTATGCTCCTCTTTATTATCTTTCATTAAGCCCCACTCCACTCAGGGGAAAAAAAAATGCCCATAAAAAAGAAAATATAATTGTTTTGGTATTTTACTCTGTGGTAAGCAAGCAACTACTGTACATTTGTGGAATATGGGAGTGTTTAGAATTGTTTTGCAAAGAGAATTAAGGTTGGCTAGGGGTATGTTTTATTTAATATGTGTCATTAAATATGATTTCTGCATTTAGCAACTGTTAGATTGACAGTATGTATGTAAAGAGCACTACCTCAGAATACCACAATGAACTCTTATTCTTACAAAAATACAATGAAGTATATTTCCACTGTTTATGTTGAAAGATAAGCTGAATCAATACATTACAGTACTTTATAAAATATAAGTAAAACATAGTATGTAAGAAAAGTTACAAATGTGAGGTCATTAGCTGACTTATCTTGCTTGGTTGCTATGATTGGTTGCCGCCAATCATTTCCACAAAGAAACAGGGTATGAGTTTTGACAATAAGGCTGAGTAGCTTGTACCATAATCCCACAACACTTTTTTTGGTAAAATAGTGCTACTGTAGATATTCTCCTTTTAAAAGAATTTTAGCCATTATTAACATTACATTAATAATAAATTAATGTTAGCACCTGTGTGCTTTGGCTCACACATTACTTTTGACCCTGAAGATGTCAACTGTGTTGACTTTTTCAATGCCTTTTATGATTTTGGAACTTGTAATTATGATTTTGGAACTTTTAATTATGACAGATACTACTTCAAAGTAATATTTGACAATGATGCGTTAAGTGCTTAACAAGATTGTTCTGCTTTTGTTTTATTTTCTGTATGGCGCCTGCTTTCAATACTTATCCAATGTCTGGTGAATAGTATGTGCTAAAGGTTTGTTAACTTTGTATTGATATAAATATAACAGCAATTTTATACAGGGCATGCACAGAGACAACAAAAGAACCAAATATGACACTGGACAACCTAAGCAGTTTTTGCCCTATAGACAACCTACGTTTTATTGCTAATATTTTAGAATGTGCTGTTGCAGTTTAATTAAATAACAATTTCTTTGCAAATAACCTCTTTGAACCCTTCCTTAACTGGTTTCAGTCACTTACACAACACAGAAACTGGTTAAAGTCACTAACTATCTTCAAATGGCTTCTGATTCCAGTCCCCCATCTATCCTTATTCTCCTAGATCTCAGTGCTGCTTTTGACACTGTTAACCATGACGTCTTACTTTCCAGTTTTTAGATTGTGTTTGGAGCTTCTTGTTGCTCTTGAGTGGTCCACCTTTTACTTTATCAACACTTACTTTACTAACCCCCATTTCTCTGTTGAAGATTTCAGTTCTGAAGTTAGGGACTGTAAGTCTTCCTCTAATATACACTATTAATAGGGCTTGACATGTGGGCCTCTTACAATTCAGCATTTACATGTTCCTACTTGGTCTGCTATTAAGATCACATGGTCTGATTTGTCATTTCTATGCTGATAATAATAATAATTGCTTACACTTATATAGCACTTTTCTGGACACTCCACTCAAAGCACTTTACAGGTAATAGGGACTCCCCTCCACCACCACCAATGTGCAGCATCCACCTGGATGATGCGACGGGAGTCATAATGCGCCAGAACACTCTCCACACATCAGCTATCAGTGGGGAGGAGAGCAGAGTAATGAAGCCAATTCATAGATGAGGATTATTAGGAGGTGATGATACTGATACTGATGATACTCATGTGTCCAAATATTGTAAAAATATCACTCTTTCACCTCAGAAATCTAACACACTACATCCCATTTTGGGTCTGATTATAGCTGAAAGGTGATCAATAAGATCATCTTCTCTAGAACTGATTGCTGCAATGCTCTATTTGCTGTGGTATCTACGTTGACTCTGAACCAAATTCAGCATGTCCAGAATTCAGAAGCCAGAACTTTGACAAGGACATGTGCAAGTGATCCTGTACTGGAGTCCTTGCACTGGCTTTCTATTTGGTTTCATGTCTACTTCAAAACTCTCACCTACTGTATTGTATAAGACTATATGTCTTGGTAACTCATTCGTTGTCTGACATCTGACCTGTGATAATCTTCCTACTCCCCACCTTGCAACCTTCGTTCTGGTCTCCTATCTGGAATTCTATCCCTAAGGATATTAGAAAGTCAGATTTCCCTGTGTGCTTTCAAACACAGAATCAAAACCTTCTCCTTCAGGAAGGCTTTTATTTAATAGATGTCTGTGCCTGCCCCCTTGAACCTCTACCTCATTTTATTCCTTCTGTTTCTTTGAGTTAATTTAGTTACTGTTTTCATAATTTTAACTGTTTTTTTACTTTTCCTGCAGACTGTTATGAAATTATATTTTTAAAGGTGCTTTTAAACTTATTATTACATCAAGGGAATTTTGAAACAAGTGCCAGCTGCCTATTGAAAGAGGTGACAGTGATTAATGTTGTTAGAAAAGTAAGATGGATTTAAAACTGTGTTATAGGCAATTTGCTTGATCCATATCACATTTCAGATAAGACATATCTATTATAAGCTTTTAAGTCACTTAAAATTCATTGAAAAGGTCTATATTTCAGATTTTAAAGAAATACATTTCCCATTTAACCATCCTTAAATCTATCCACCTGTGCAGTGCAATTTAGGAGAAGGTAGGAAATCTTGGTTTATAATTTAGATGCTGTTGACAACTCCCACCTCTTTTGTTAAATAGATTCTTGTGTGCCTCTTGCTGATGTTTTAATATAACACTACTGCATAATGAGGGAATGTGAATGCTGTTTCAAGCTAAATTTGAAAAGTTCCTTGACTTTAACCATGGCCTGGGTGACAATTCTTGCATTC